AGTCTTATCTGTAATAAATTAGATAGTTGTAAATGTATATGTACATTTGTAACTGTAATACCTTAGAGTACTAATAATAAACAGTTAAGGCAAGACTGCCGAATTAAAAAAAAAGAAATATACATAATTTTGCTGAAAAATATATTTTGAATTTTCCAAATTCTTTTTTACGCACAAATAAAAACAAAGCTTGTATTGTACAGTACTATAAGAATTCTTTTGATATATTTTTGTAAACCAGTTTATTTTCTGACAGCCTCTAGTTGCCGTCGGAGAACAAACTGAAACTTGTCCCACACTACATTTGCTAGATTAATGAATTATATTTAAATAAGCATAACAATTTTATTAATATTATGAGGTATTTAAATAAATAATATAATAATATTATAACTTGAGACCAACAAGGAAGATAAAATCAAAGAAAATGGTAATTTTGAATAGGGGTACTTTTTATAGGCATGAATAATTCTTCTTTGATTGTCTTAAATTATAGAAAACACTTTGATACCTTTATCTTAAGAATGATCGGAGATAGGCGACTTGAAATTTTCAATCAATCCTTATTTGAAAGCAAAGGTAAAGAAATTATTGTTTTACATATTTTTAATGGTTGCCCAATGACTGGTTTTATCTTGGCTGCACTCATATAAGAATGGCTAAAAAAAATTAATGTTCATGTATATACACAGAACATTAATTTTATATATGGCTTTTTACTCTTTCATTTACCTTTTTTAAACTTTGAAATTATTTTGTATAGATCACAATAATCAGAAATTTCTTTATTCCAAGTAATAAGATTACGATAGAATCAACCGAAAATTATTTTAATAGTGAATATTCGTTGGTAGAGTTTAACTTTAAGTCCGCTTTGATAGCAATAAATTTTTAATTTTTACCGATAAGGAGGAGCAATGCATGAGCATGATAAAATATTCAAAGAGGGCTTTTATTCTATGAAAAAAATTGATTGACATCAATACAATAATTATAGCTTCTTAGTTAAAGCTTTTTATCATATGAGCTAATTTGATCAGGTAACTTGTTCGGCCATGTTATGACTTTGGTCAATCTCTAACCAGAATTTTATTGACTCAAGTTATTATTTCTGACCAGAGTTAGATATATGAACCATTATTTGGTTTCAATTTATGGATTACATATTGTTAAAGGCCCAGAAGCTAATTTATTACTGAAATTACTGATCATAATTTTTAGGAAACTCAATTTGTTCTCAGACGGCCCCTTGATTATTTATTTAATTTTGTCTTTTTAACTGCCTTCAAATTATGAGTTACAACAGTAACTATATTCTGAATAAAATTAAATAACATTAATTTAATGGAAAAATGAATATTGATAAATGCACAAAAAGTCTGAAGAATAATACCCGTACTAATAACAATGCATATACTAATTCATGTACATTTTCCCAAGCAATTTGTTTCACAGGTATGTCCGCTTCAACAATTAGGAAGTAAAAATAAATATTATTCTTTCTTTGAAGCCCGTATATTTTTATGTGTTTGCCTAAATAGCAAAAGGTTTATAATATTAATTGAAATAGAAAAGCAATAATATTTAGCTTACCAGTTATGTTAATTCCCAAAATTGTAAGAAAAGAAAAAATGTCTTTGTTGTCTTTCAATCATTTTTGGGTAGTTACAAAATTGTATCCGCTTTTATATAAGCAAATCAATTTAGAATGGTCTTTTTTTTGGTAGTTATGCATCGCCCACTTTCAACATAAAGCAATTCTAGGGCTTTTTCGCTAATTTTAACAATAAACATTATGTCAGGTCGATTTCTAATCGCTGAAGATTTTGTATTCGATGATTTGAAATCTTGATTAGCTCAACTTTGCAGTTTTCCTCTAGAAAACACAAATGTCAATAAATGAAATTCTTTAAAAGATATTGATAAAATAATTAAAATTACTAAAATTACTTTAATCCATATGTAATATCCACTGGAAGATCATCCAATGTTACAGAAAGAAGCGGTTCTATAACTTGCGTCAAAAAGTTTCTCTCAGATTGATTTTTATTCCAATCTTTATTCAATTTCCAAATATCATTTCTAATAAGGAATCAAATTAGTATTATTTTATCCTTATATAAATAATTTTGATAATACATACAAACAATTAATAATGTTTCGAGAACATTTTTTTCGCGACTTTAAATTTTCTACCCATTGACCCAAGGAGGCTACGGAACTTTCAGAGATAATCCATTTAAGTACAGTGTTGTTTTGTTCTTGAATAGCTTTCTTACACTCTTCTACCACAGCTACTTCCAACTCCAATTTCTTAGAAAACACACTCTATTATAATTAATATAATTAGTTTCCAAATCTACCGATATATATTAACTAAAAATTTACTTACTTTAACAAAATTAACTGTGGTGTATTTGAATTTGCTTGCCCACTTAGATGAAATGTCTATGACTTCTAGACTTAAAGAATCACAATCATTATCATCACACTTCAGAGCTAATTTATCCAAGGTATTAAAAATATCTTGATAAGCTTCACATTCTTCTTTAGAACAGCTTCCACAAAGAATTCAGTTCTAATTTTTGACCATATACATTATTCAAATCCCTCATTAAAAAACAATTATCTTAGGTTTAATACTTTCCACACTTCACTTTAAATTTGAAATATTTGTAGAAATATCTTGTATTTTTTTTATTTATACAAAGAGGTAACAAGCATCTTATTTACATGCAATGAATTCACTATTGAAATTACACTTTTAATCTAAAAATAATAATATAATAATATAATATTAGATACAATGTAAAAAAATTATTCTTAATAATTAATTTAAACAAATTAGATAAATTTGCATGCACTTTTAATTCCTGGGAGTATTGCAACAAGGACAGCCCTACTTCAGAATGTAAATATGCAAGTTCACAGATTACAACAAGGACGACCCACTTCGAGAAGATTTAAAAAAATTTTATATTCCTACTGAATCGCAGTTGTTATAAAAATACTTGTGATTGTAATTACATTCCTACTGAACTGTGGTTGTTTAAGATCTTTCTAGCTCATCACTTCATCAGCAAAAATAAATAGGCGTAAACCTCTGCAAGTTTTTACACGAGCGTAAACTTACGAAAATTTACGATTAATTCGGAGTATTACGTAGGTGTAATAATTACGAAAGTTTATGCTATCCCTTAAATTGTAACACAGGCAAATTTGCCTGTGTTTTTATTAAAAAGTTTAATTTTTTTAATAAAAAC